CAAGACAAATATGATTATTAATATTCTGAATTGTTCAGTGGGGTCTTTACCATATCATTAGCATTATATCCAAAAAGTCGGATTTCGTAACCTAATACATCCAATAATAAGACCGAGCTATGTTGGCATAGCGGTGCAGGTTTTCATAACTTTTGAGGATTTTACATTTTGAGTTGAAGTTAAATCCACTTTATGTTTTGTTTGAGTATCGCGATTCTGGTATCTTCCCAGCCCTAGTAAAAACTCAAATAACTTCTGAACTGATTATGATGGAGACATGAGGTTTGGACTATTGGTTTTCTTTGAGGATTACATACACAATTAATATATTATTTTACTAATTGGTCAAAAGATGCGTTTTTGATTGGACACTCTACCAACTGCATGATTTATTTGTCCGCTGGGAAATACATACCCTGACTGTGACATACAGCCCACTTGGCGGTGGGGGCTTTGGTTCAGGAGCAGTGTCCCTAATTCTGCCCATGTAGCCCCATATTTGGTGAGGGTACCTCGACATAAACAGGCACCATGGTCTTTTCCCAGGAAGGAGGGGACAGGTGGACAGCTGTTTACTGAATAGGCGCAAATGCTGAAGTACTTAATTGAGCTTTATTGGGCAGATTAAAATGTAGAAAGTAATTATGATGATTATGATTATGGTAGCCTAACTATTTCATTTTCCACGGTTTCTAGAAACATGGTTAGTAATACCTTTGGAAAAATTATTGCATATGCACATGCTAATCAAGTTTGATGACATTGCGTCAAAGGCCTCATTCAAAGGATCACAGTCAATTGCCAATGCAGATATTGTCACGCCCTGGCTCTGGGGACACTTGTATGTTGAGCCAGAGTGTGAGTTTCCTTTGGGTATTCTATTTTTTTGTATATCTATGTTGGCCAGGGTGGCTCCCAATCAGAGACGGCTGTAGCTCGTTGTCTCTGATTGGGAGTCATACTTAGGTAGCCGTTAGGCATTCATTGGGTGTGGTTTCTTGTTCCGTGTTGGTTTGTGTATGTAACCAGGGACGTCACGTTTTCGTTTTGTTCGTGTGATACTTTATAAAAATAAATATGTTTGCATTCCACGCTGCGCCTTGGTCCTCCTCTGTTCCCGACGATCGTGACAGAAGAAACCACCAAGCCTGGACCAAGCAGCGTGTCCAGGAGCCATCGCCAGGGAGATCTCTAGCAGATCTCCTTCGCCTCCTCGACTGGGTCAAGCCGGGTGAGGAAGAGAAGGGCTTGACATGGAAGCAGAAGGGCGAAAGGCTGGCGAGGGACATGGAGACCTGGTCCACGGGTAGGAGAGACGCCCAGAATATTTAGGGGGGGGCTAACGCCGTGGACGACGGGCCAGCAGGAGACCGCGGCAGAGCGGCCCAGCGGGTTGGCAGAGGAGGCCGCCAGGTTACGGGGGCCACTGGTCGAAGAGGGGATGGAAGGTGTAGAGGCACGGCGAGAGGTACTGGGGTGTGTTACCAGTCCGGTCCGGCCCATTCCAGATCCCTGCGTAGGACCAGTGGTGTGTGTCCCCAGTACGGTCCGGCCTGTTCCTGCTCCCCGCACCAGGCCAATGGTGCGCGTCGTCAGCCCGGCTCGGCCCGTTTCTGCTCCCCGCACCAAGTCAGTGGTGCGCTTCGTCAGCCCGGCTCGGCCCGTTCCTGCTCCCCGCACCAAGTCAGTGGTGCGCTTCGTCAGCCCGGCTCGGCCCGTTCCTGCTCCCCGCACCAAGTCAGTGGTGCGCTTCGTCAGCCCGGCTCGGCCCGTTCCTGCTCCCCGCACCAAGTCAGTGGTGCGCTTCATCAGCCCGGTCCGGCCCGCTCCTGCTCCCCGCACCAAGTCAGTGGTGCGCTTCGTCAGCCCGGCTCGGCCCGTTCCTGCTCCCCGCACCAAGTCAGTGGTGCGCTTCGTCAGCCCGGTCCGGCCCGCTCCTGCTCCCCGCACCAAGTCAGGGGTGCGTTTCGTCAGCCCGGCTCGGCCCGTTCCTGCTCCCCACACCAAGCCAGTGGTGTGCGTCGTCAGTCCGGCACAGCCCGTGCCTGTTCCACTGGTGCCTGGTTCAGCACCGGTCAGCTGCTTCACGCCGGACCAGGGGTACTTTGGGGGGTTGGAGAGGGAGTGGGGATCAGGCCCGGAGCCGGATCCGCCGCCAAGGTGGAGTGCCCACCCGGTCCCTCCCCTGTGGTGTTTGGTTGGCGCGGCCGGAGTCCGCGCCTTTAGGGGGGGGTACTGTCACGCCCTGGCTCTGGGGACACTTGTATGTTGAGCCAGGGTGTGAGTTTCCTTTGGGTATTCTAGTTTTTTGTATATCTATGTTGGCCAGGGTGGCTCCCAATCAGAGACGGCTGTAGCTCGTTGTCTCTGATTGGGAGTCATACTTAGGTAGCCGTTAGGCATTCATTGGGTGTGGTTTCTTGTTCCGTGTTGGTTTGTGTATGTAACCAGGGACGTCACGTTTTCGTTTTGTTCGTGTGATACTTTATAAAAATAAATATGTTTGCATCCACGCTGCGCCTTGGTCCTCCTCTGTTCCCGACGATCGTGACAGATATGATTTGTAATGATTATGCCACTCAAAATCTGGATCAGTATAATTTAAACTGATGGATTATGGAGAGCTTAAAATATGATAATTAATACACATTTAGAGGGAAAATACAGCTAAGAGAAACAAACTTGGACGTTTTAATATTAATACATATATTACAATAAAAGTACAATAATAGGCCTACATTTTAATTGCAGGCATTTGGACAGAGTGAGGATATTGGGGTAAGATTATCATGGCCTCTGACCATTGGCTACCAGGCTGTGGGTACGATATTGAGACCCTCAGGGCCCTTTGGAGGATAGGGGTCATAGCCAGCTGTGGCATCCTATGGCTCTCTACTGATGTCAGATCCCCTCGACCCCAATCTAAAGAAGTAACATTAGTTAATAGAGTCCTCAGGGTTGTACATTCTCCTTTGGGACTTTTCCCCTGGTTATTATTTGTGGGAGTGTTTAGTGTTGTTCATAATTCTAGCAAATTCTAAATGCATGTTGTCATTTCCCCCCTGTAGCATGCCTGTAAATGAAAATTATCTCTGCATTTGAACAACAGCATAAATACACCTATTTCACTTTTGCATGTCAAAAATCGAGTGACCACTGCTGCACATGCTGCCACTGTTTTGAACAGATTATACTATTTAGAACAAGCAGTCTAGGGTGAACGGTCGTCACTAGTTACCATAGCTAGAAAATCATAAAGCCCACCTATTTCTACAATTTATCTACTTAAAATTTGATTTTGAACCTAACCTTGACCCTAACATTAACCACACAGCTAACCTTATGCCCAACCTTAAATACAATTTTTTTTATGAACAATATAGCCAATTTTGACTTTGTGGCTGTGGTAACTAGTGGAAACCAGGGTGAACGCAACAAGCATGCAGATGCAGTAAGTAAAAACACATGATCTTACTGGGGATAGCTAGCTAACATAATGTCACAAAGCATGATGCGCCGGCCTTTCATTCTGAAATAACTTCATATTTCCGAGTTAGTCAGATATTAGTTTAGAAAGACTTGAAATTGGCATGGGAGCTAATTAGCTAGCAAGCTACCAGCTAGCTATAGCTTGCTAGCTGCTTATCAAAGGTAGATAACTGGGTAATTTGACCCAAATAATTTACCTAACTATTTCTCAATGTTTCTCAGAATTACTGTAACTGGCTAATTAATTTGATTATGCTTTGTGATGCACCCGGTTTTATGCTGTTTTAGTCCACACAACATGTCGCCCTGTCACCTACAGAACTTGATGTACAACATGTGGGGGAAAGAAATTGGCCATGGTTTTTTTCTGTCCTACTAGATCTGCGATGAAAATGTTTTAGCATAGATAAAACAATGAGACGGATATTTCACCGGATGTATAAATGTGAAGCATCCGCTTGCGTTTCCACTCACTACCACATATGGTGGTGAGAGGAAGCCCAGTGGCCGGCAGTGAGAGAAGATGGAACAAGATGGATTTTGGCCGACATTCTGCAAATGTTCTCATCTATGAAAGATTTGATCTCAATACAGTTTTCTGTTCCCAAAACTAGAAGCTGTTACGAACAGAGTGGACTACGTTTTGTAGACTTTACATTGCCAAAGTTTCTGTAGTGGTGAAGCTAGTCGACTCAATTATATCACATTTTATGTTTGTCTAAACATTTCTGTACAATACACAACTGTACATAACTGAACAATAGCAATTCTACTCTACCCAATACATTGCATAGTATAGAAACAGAAGAAAAGGAGAATCCCGACCCAGAGCGGATATTAAATCGTCAAAACTGTACTTTAACTCTATCTATGCAGTTTTATTCTGGAATACTTTTCATTTTTAGGGATGTACTTAATCACACGCGAGGTACAATTTTCTTTGGTTTTAATATAGAATTCACAACACATAGGCCTACTGCATATTTGTCTTTCCCTTAGTCAATCGAATGATTAAAAATGTTTAAAAGTGTAATTACCTTAACATTGGTGCATGTAACATCTCTTAAAATAGGGCAGAAGGGGGGAGAAGACAAAACAATCTCAAAAACACTCAATTAAAAAGTAGCTTCATCCATTGTTTTTGCATTATCAAACAGATTTCACTAGTCGAATCCAAATTCCCAGACCATGATTCAAGTCTACAGCTCTGTCATATACTGTAGCTTCATAACGTCATCTAGGACCATAACATAAGGCAGCTGGTAGGAGGTATATTGCAATGGGCTGTCCATGGCCCATGCTGCTCGGAGGATAGCATGCTTCTGTCTGGTGTAAACACATTAAGGGCTACCTTGAGATTTTTTTCTTCTGAGAGTGAAAGGCACTTCTACTGATGGTCTGGAGTGTTTGAACACACACTACAACCATACTAGTGACCCAGATATGGTCATTGGCACATAAAAAAAACGGCAGACATACACAAGCACCATGTGCTGCCACATCCTGGTTGTACAATCTACTATGTGTGGATCTCATGTGTGTGTATGTGTGTGTGTGTTTATGCGTTGAGCTTTTCTGCCTCATCCAGTGTCCTAACAGTGGTCAACTCCTCATGTGAGCCCTCCTCACCAGGCAGCTGAGAGAGAGAGAGAGAGAGAGAGAGAGAGAGAGAGAGAGAGAGAGGAGAGAGAGAGAGAGAGAGAGAGAGAGAGAGAGAGAGAGAGAGAGAGAGAGAGAGAGAGAGAGAGAGTAAAATGGAAAGAGAAAAATAAAGATGTAGTGGTGGCTTATTTAAACCTTTTTTTCACCTTATCATCTAGTCATGAAAATGCAAGTATGCCTATTGCCTAGCTAATTTCAACACATTCCTACATCTTTATATATATGTTTTTATCAAGAGAATCGTCAATTACTGATTATACATGCATTGACCATGTGAAATGGCACCACCTGATGTTCTGACATGACATGCAGCCATTGGAGTTCAGTAACCAAATGCAAGCATGACACCTTGTGGCCACATATCACATTGCACAACATTGGGGCCCAACTGTATGCCATCGCTGACAATCTTTAACCCTTCATGGGCCTGAATGGCACTGCACTGTCACACAAACACTATGTACAAATGTGAGTCCTGTGTGTTCATTCATCCATACAAAGTGACTGGGTGTAGTAGCTAAACTTACCTCCCAGTAGATGCCATCCTCAAAGCAGATGGTGTCAGGAGGAGCACCATAGATTGGCAGCTTCAGAATAAAACCTACAAGACATGGACATATAAATTACATGACAAGGACATGATACAATTACACACATACACAAGGCATAGGCCTATATACAGGAACAAAAGAGCATATATATAATATCACCATGCATTTGCGAAAACAAACTCAAGTCAAGATAATGACTGTGTGTGCTTACAACATTCTGTAAACTGGTAATATTTAAATCCCCCCTATCCTCTAGCTAGTCCCTCTACGTACCGGTGATAAGACCGCCCAGGAGGGCGATGCCCAGGGTCACAGCCAGGGAGATGGCCTGTCGTACGCCCTGGGACGAGGCCTCCACATCCCCAGAGTGGATGTCAGGGAACACATCAGCCATCCTGCAACACAGAGAGCAGGGAGTGTTGAATGAAACTGTTGTATGAATGCACGCTTTGATGGCGTCTGTCTGTTGCGCAATAGGGGGAGCTTCACCATAACACCAGCAGAGGGCACACTTTTCCAACTTGTCAAAAAAAAGGCAGACTAACCCATCTCCATAGACATCCTTGGTTGCCAGAGCAGCAGTAACTGCTCCAACGATGGCTCCCAGGACTCCAGGCATGCCATGCAGGTTGTGGACGCCACACGTGTCCTGTATCTTCAGCTTTTTTTCCAGGATAGGCTGAGGGGACAGGGGTGGAAAGTTGGCAGTGGCCATGAGTGCGGGTGTTTGTGTGTGTGACGTGTATGCACCCTAGCACCCGTATGTCCTTCAAAAGGTGCCATATACACATAAGTGGATGTGTTTCTCAACATGACTGTTTATGTTGTAAATAGATTCTCTTGTTCTGTTGGCATCATAAATGGTCAAATCCTCCTGAGACCCCTTGAAAGGACATTCAGGGCTTTTCAATGATATCACATGTGGGAGTGTGACCTGGATAACTTTCTCTTCCAGGTTTGTCAAAATGGCTGCCAACACAATTAGCACATTTTATGGTAAAAAGGAAGGTAAGTGTGTGTAATTGTGTAATTATCATTTTTTTGTGAGTTTAATATTCAATTGCTTTTAGTAAGTAAATATCTCAGGAATAGTTTGGTGAGTTTTCAGAGCAGTGCAATCATTTTTCACATTGAATAAGAGCTAAATAAGAGCTTATTTATGTCCTCTGTAGTTTTGTTACCTACTCTACCCATTTACTGTAATGTTAAATTTGTAATATTTACTATCAAATGATTTATTAAGTCCACTACAGTGCACGTACAATATAAAATAAATAAACCTATATTTTGTAATTGTTTAAGTTTTTTATCACCCCAAAAAATGTTGTATTTTTAATTACAGATATGTTTTATTGCTGGGTCTCAGGAGCATAATACATTTTCATTTCCATACACTTCTGTCCTATATCCTGTCTTACCAATGGGAGGTTGGCCTTACCGAGAGGAACTTGAAGCCCAGCACAGAGACGGTTCCAGCCAGGAAGCCCACAATCATGGAGCCGAAAGGAGTGAGCATCATTTCACCAGCAGTTCCCACGGCAACCCCACCGGCAAGGGCAGCGTTCTGGATGTGCACCTAAAGAGAGGAGAGAGACAACGTTTTTAAAATGGTGTTCAAAATGGTTGATTGTCAGAGTCCATTCATACCTTTATTTTAATTATCTATTTGCTATCGCCATCATGCAAAGTGGGGGTGTGCGAGTGTGTAGAGTTAGATTATAGACAGATTTTATGATATGCTGCTGACACACTACCCTTTCACCAACTGTGAGATAATCTCAGCTGATTTGAACGGTACTACTATCATCAGGTCATGTGGTATGTTCACTGACTCCAACACTCCCTCCATTGTATAGAAAAGACAACTTCAGATTGATTTCCATCTAGACAGGAATGCACCTTCTTGATTTCAGCATGAGATGCAGATGACAGCTATGTCCTCAAGGGACATAGCAACTAGATATATTGTCTGGCTCACATGACTGTATACTCTAAAAGTTAGATCGTAACTATGGTGTGATGCTTAAGCATGCATATTTTTGGGATGGTTTCCAATCTAGGCATTCTTAATTCTTAAATCGTATCTTGTGAGAAAGTTTGATGATTCATAGTTTGATAGTTTAGAATAGATAAATCAAATCTAAACTAGAAAAGTCAATTTTCGGAAGGAAATGTGGGCTTGCTAGCTTGTTTGAAAGTATTTATGGTTTTGAAATAAGTTATAGAAGTGGTAGTGACTGCAGTAGTAATGGTAGTGACTGGTTATAGTTGAAAAAGTGGGTAGATTAAAAGATTGATTGATTGGTTAGCTGATTGATTGCTTGATTGGATAGGATAGCCTGAACATGTGAAAGTTGGTTTGGTGTCTCTAGCTTGAACGGTTCAAGAGTTACTGTTGATGAGTTCATTGCTATTAAAACGTTTTTCAAGCAATCTAATTTGGTGCAGTCTGCACATTTGGAAGTTGGTTTCATGTTAATAGCTTAAATAATTTAAGCGCTAGAGCGAGTGGAATAAATATAATAATAATAATAATAATAATATAAGTATGTAAGAAATCTACAGTTGTGCTTTGCTTTCAGCAAGCACACCTAACTACATCTGTAGACAATAGTTGAAATACCTGTCTGGATATGCAAACATCCTGTATGATGATTCAGTTTGCCAATCAAGATTTAATCCCAAAGGAGTCATGTTTCATTCCAAATATTTACTTACATGTATAACATCTAATAGGGCTACTGTATATCTAGTAGGCCTATGACGCAAAATACAGTTGAACCAGATTGTTTTGACAACAAACACTGGGAGAAATCTTCCTTCCCCTACCATGTCTAGTCCCTAACTCCCACTTGAAATTATCTGGGAAGACCACTTTAAGCCCCTCATTTCCACTGCATAGTCCCTGTAGAATCCTACTTCTCCCTACTATGTCCCCCCAAGTCCACATCGCCTGTCTAGCCCTAGAGTACTTTTAGGGACCTGCTTTTCCTCTTAAGTCCCCCCTACCGTACTAGCCCCCTCACCATATCGAGCTTGCCATCATGGGCCACAACGGCAGACAGGCCGTAGGTGGCTAGGGTGCAGGCAGCCAGGGAATAGTAGGTGTTCATAGCCGTGCGGTGCTGGTCGTCTCCGTGGGCCGTCACAGCAGAGTTGAAGCTTGGCCAGAACATCCACAGGTAGATGGTGCCTGAGCAGGCAGGGAAAAATAAGTATTAGCAAACTGGTATGTAATATAGTCCTTTAGTTTAGCAAGCTTACAGGTAAGGTTTTTTCCTGGGGAGGTGGATGTACTGTACTCTTAATTATGACACAGATTCCCATACATTGGCATTGGCATGCATAGTCAAAACATAACTGGCGTCTTCAGAAAATGAAGGTTAAGTTGTCCGACTTGTTTATGGTGGCTATTTGTATCTAATGTACGGGCTTCCTGCTTACGATGAGCAGGAGGTATTCTTACCAATCATGGCGAAGAGGTCAGAGTGGTAGACAGAGCAGTTCTTGTGTTTGCTCTTGTCCAGGTTGGGGCGGTAGAGAACACGAGCCACCATCAGGCCAAAGTAAGCTCCAAAGGTGTGGATGGTCATGGAGCCACCAGCATCCTTGGCCTAAAGGTGAACATGATCTAATTTAAGGGGTGTAAAAAGCTTAGTCTAAAAGTATATTACGCAAGAGTGATGAGAAAGCCAAATAGGAGAGTAGGCATAATAGTACGTAAAAAATCAGGTTTAGTGTAGTTTTGTATACACACATATAAGCCTTAAGGCTGCAAGACATGAATTGTACATTTAATGGTACACCTAAACACACACACACACTCACCCCCAGAACAGAAAGCACAATGAACTCATTGACTGCGAACAGGGTGACTTCAATCACAGACATGACCAGCAGCTGGACTGGACTGGTCTTCCCCAGGACCGCCCCGAACGAGATAAGCACTGAGCCCGTGCAGAAGTCAGCGTTGATCATACTGCAGGAGGGACAAACACTCTTAATGATAGGGTTTATTATGGGATACACTACAGTATACACTTACACCTGTATGATATGACATGTATACACATCACATGTATCTGCTGGTGTGTTGTGTTTATTTTAGTATGAAATGTAGGTTAGTGTGTGCATGAGCCGTACTTCTCTATTCCGATGTGGATCTTGCCCCCGTGCATGCCGTGGACAAAGCCCTGCATGAGAGTGGCCCACTGCAGAGCGAAGGCCGCAATGAGGAAGTTGAAGCCCACACTGCTAAAGCCGTAACGTTGCAGGAACGTCATGAGGAAACCAAAGCCAATGAAGATCATCACGTGCACATCCTGAAAGCCTGAACAAAGGAGGAGAACACAGTACAGATTATTTTATTGCGTTGGATGCACATTGTCACTATTCAAGTGCCTGTGTGGTCAGTCTTGCAAACATTTTAACAATCCCCTTCTTATGGTTTGGTGAGAAAGACTGTCTTATGACAGTAGTATACAGTGGGGAATTTTTTTATTTAGTCAGCCACCAATTGTGCAAGTTCTCCCACTTAAAAATACGAGAGAGGCCTGTAATTTTCATCATAGGTACACGTCAACTATGACAGACAAAATGAGAATTTTTTTCTCCAGAAAATCACATTGTAGGATTTTTTATGAATTTATTTGCAAATTATGGTGGAAAATAAGTATTTGGTCAATAACAAAAGTTTCTCAATACTTTGTTATATACCCTTTGTTGGCAATGACACAGGTCAAATGTTTTCTGTAAGTCTTCACAAGGTTTTCACACACTGTTGCTGGTATTTTGGCCCATTCCTCCATGCAGATCTCCTCTAGAGCAGTGATGTTTTGGGGCTGTCGCTGGGCAACACAGACTTTCAACTCCCTCCAAAGATTTTCTATGGGGTTGAGATCTGGAGACTGGCTATGCCACTCCAGGACCTTGAAATGCTTCTTACGAAGCCACTCCTTCGTTGCCCGGGCGGTGTGTTTGGGATCATTGTCATGCTGAAACACCCAGCCACGTTTCATCTTCAATGCCCTTGCTGATGGAAGGAGGTTTTCACTCAAAATCTCACGATACATGGCCCCATTCATTCTTTCCTTTACACGGATCAGTCGTCCTGGTCCCTTTGCAGAAAAACAGCCCCAAAGCATGATGTTTCCACCCCCCATGCTTCACAGTAGGTATGGTGTTCTTTGGATGCAACTCAGCATTCTTTGTCCTCCAAACACGACGAGTTGAGTTTTTACCAAAAAGTTATATTTTGGTTTCATCTGACCATATGACATTCTCCCAATCCTCTTCTGGATCATCCAAATGCACTCTAGCAAACTTCAGACTGGCTGGACATGTACTGGCTTAAGCAGGGGGACACGTCTGGCACTGCAGGATTTGAGTCCCTGGCGGCGTAGTGTGTTACTGATGCTAGGCTTTGTTACTTTGGTCCCAGCTCTCTGCAGGTCATTCACTAGGTCCCCCCGTGTGGTTCTGGGATTTTTGCTCACCGTTCTTGTGATCATTTTGACCCCACGGGGTGAGATCTTGCGTGGAGCCCCAGATCGAGGGAGATTATCAGTGGTCTTGTATGTCTTCCATTTCCTAATAATTGCTCCCTGATTTCTTCAAACCAAGCTGCTTACCTATTGCAGATTCAGTCTTCCCAGCCTGGTGCAGGTCTACAATTTTGTTTCTGGTGTCCTTTGACAGCTCTTTGGTCTTGGCCATAGTGGAGTTTGGAGTGTGACTGTTTGAGGTTGTGGACAGGTGTCTTTTATACTGATAACAAGTTCAAACAGGTGCCATTAATACAGGTAACGAGTGGAGGACAGAGGAGCCTCTTAAAGAAGAAGTTACAGGTCTGTGAGAGCCAGAAATCTTGCTTGTTTGTAGGTGACCAAATACTTATTTTCCACCATAATTTGCAAATAAATTCATTAAAAATCCTACAATGTGATTTTCTGGAATTTTTTTAATCAATTTGTCTGTCATAGTTGACGTGTACCTATTATGAAAATTACAGGCCTCTCTCATCTTTTTAAGTGGGAGAACTTGCACAATTGGTGGCTGACTAAATACTTTTTCCCCCCACTGTAGCAGTATCTTTCATCTAATTGTAAGTTCTGGTCACCAACAATCCCTTTTAGTCAACATTTTGTGATTTAAATTGAGCGGGACAGGGGGCTTTGGGAGCCTCAGTTGGCCTACATAGAAGGACACAGAGAAGTTACCCTGTGCCTCATAGCTCAATTCAGCCTGCTATCCGGCCTTGTTAACCAGCCTACTACACCTCCCTCTGCCCACTGGACGTATTCATCCATATGGCACTGGGGAGTGGGGACAATATCTCTTGGTGTCGTTGCCTGGCAACTGATCATTGGCATGGAGGATATTCGCACTGCCCAACTCCCCATTGGCAGGCTGGCCCAAATACCCCGTGTCCCCTAGAAGGACACCTACTGACACCTACAGAGCGGTGAGAAAATGTAACATGCTCACACACGGACAACACCTGTGAGGATGTAAATAAACAAAACACATTGTAAAAATTGTTGTTTTAATATATTACCTGCACTCATGAAGCAACATACAGACCAGTTTTAACCTAATGCCTTATTTACAGTTCTCTTAATTCTGACTGTGTCTTTCAATCATATATAATTTGCTTTCTAGACATTTGTCATGTGGAGCAGCTATAGTTCTAAAGGCTTCTACTATATGTTGACATAACAGCAAATCTCTTATCTCATAGCAATGAGGTCAACCTACATACACACCCAGACAATAAAGAGCAGCAGAGTGAGAATTATACAGTGACATTTGGGGGTGTCACGATCGTCGAACAGAGAGGACCAAGGCGCAGCGTTGCGGGTGAACATATTTATATTTATTGACTAGATCACACGATCAAAACAAAGAACGAAACGTGAAGTCCTTCGATACACAAACCAAAAGGAACACGAAACCACAAAACACAAAGTGCAAGACAAACAGTTAAATATGGCTCCCAATCAGAGACACCCAGCTGACACTCGTTGCCTCTGATTGGGAGTCACTCAGACCAACATAGAAAATTAAACATAGACTTACACACCCTGGCTCAACATAACATAGTCCCCAGAGCCAGGGCGTGACAGTACCCCCCCCCAAAGGCGCGGACTCCGACCGCGCCAAACAACCACAACAGGGGAGGGACCGGGTGGGCACTCCTCCTCGGCGGCGGATCCGGCTCCGGACATGACCCAGGCACGGGTTGTGCTGGACTGACGACGCACACCCCTGGCTTGCTGCGTGGAGGAGGAACAGGCCGGACCGGGCTGACGAAGCGCACCCCTGACTTGGTGCGGGGAGCAGGAATGAGCCGGACCGGGCTGACGACGCGCACCACTGACCCGGTGCGGGGAGCTTGGACGGGCCGGACAGGGCTGGCGACGCGCACCACAGACTTGGTGCGGAGAGCAGGAACGGGCCGTGCCGGACTGACGACGCACACCACTGGCTTGGTGCGGGAAGCTTGGATGGGCTGGACTGGGCTGGCGACGCGCACCACAGACTTGGTGCGGAGAGCAGGAACGGGCCGGGCTGGGCTGTCGACGCACACCGTAGGTTTGGTGCGGGGAGCAGGAATAGACCGGGCTGGGCTGGCGACGCACACCGTAGGCTTTGTGCGTGGAGCAGGGACAGGCCGGGCTGGGCTGTCGACGCACACCACTGACTTGGTGGGAATGGCAGGAACAGGCCGGGCTGGGCTGACGACGTGCACCACTGACTTGGTGGGAATGGCAGGAACAGGCCGGGCCGGGCTGACGACGCGCACCACTGACTTGGTGGGAATGGCAGGAACAGGCCGGGCTGGGCTGACGACGCGCACCACTGACTTGGTGGGAATGGCAGGAACAGGCCGGACCGTACTGGGGACACACACCACTGGCCCCACGCAGGGATCAGGAACGGGCCGGACCGGACTGGTAACACACCCCAGTACCTCTCGCCGTGCCTCCACACTTTCCCTCTCCTCTGTGCCCAGTGGCCCCCCTAACCTGGCGGCCTTCTCTGCCAACGCTTTGCACCGCTCTAACCCGTACACCTGCTGCCCCGACGTCGTGAGCCCCCCCCTAAAAATTTCCTGGGGGTCTCTCCTCCCTCTTGCCAGACTCGCAATCATCTCCTCCCACGTCCATCCTCTCTCCTCGTCACGCTGCTTGATCCAGTCGAGGTTGCCACGGAGATCTGCCAGCGATGGCTCCTGAACACGCTGCTTGGTCTGGTTAAGGTGGTTTCTTCTGTCACGATCGTCGAACAGAGAGGACCAAGGCGCAGCGTTGCGGGTGAACATATTTATATTTATTGACTAGATCACACGATCAAAACAAAGAACGAAACGTGAAGTCCTTCGATACACAAACCAAAAGGAACAAGAAACCACAAAACACAAAGTGCAAGACAAACAGTTAAATATGGCTCCCAATCAGAGACACCCAGCTGACACTCGTTGCCTCTGATTGGGAGTCACTCAGACCAACATAGAAAATTAAACATAGACTTACACACCCTGGCTCAACATAACATAGTCCCCAGAGCCAGGGCGTGACAGGGGGTCTCAATTTTATTCACGGGACTTCCTATTTGTGCACAAACATTTTTATGGCCCTAATAGTAAAGACATGTATTTGAACAGTAAACATGTATTGCCTTTTAATGTGGCATGAACACACCCAGTGATGATGTTTTCACTTATTGTCAAACAAATCACTTCAAAAAGTAGGCTATTTGCACACGTGCATCCACTCCAAAATAATTCCATCATCCAAACAGTGCCCTGTGCACCCGCCATTTGATGAAGGGAAAGAGACATCTCATACAAAACACCAAAAAGTGTAATGACATTTGGCAATTGTCATTAAGCCTACACTCTTGTAGCCTGAATTAATTGATGTGTCTTGCTGACAAATGGGGACGCAAATGCAGTTGTGTCTGTCCCGAGCTCATCCGCAGGGAAAATTGAGGCCCAGTTGAAACAATGTTGCAAGTTCACTAAAGGGTTGGACCCAGTCGATACTGTTGCAAGTTTGCTAGCAAAAGCTCGAAAGCTCAAGACAGAGGGAGAGGCAGACAGGCGGAGTAGAGAGATTAATGCGATTAAAAGGTTTAAACCATAACAGAGAGGTGGGGGTGTTCCTTTAATTTGGAATAAGCTTTTAGTTTAATATGTACCACTTTAGCAGTACAAAATTATATTTAAAACAAATAGGAGAATGGTTCAATTAGGGACCCCCGACCCCTGTAATCCGCACACTGTAGAGCAGTATACTTTTATTATACCTTAAACGTTTGAAGTTCCAAACAGGATATGTTCAATGAGAGTAGTCAGATGGGGCGGCAGGTAGCTTAGTGGGTAAGAGCGTTGTGCCAGTAACCGAAAGGTCGCTGGTTCTAATCCCCGAGCCGACTAGGTGAAAAATCTGTCGATGTGCCCTTGAGCAAGGCACTTAACCCTAATTGCTCCTGTAAGTCGCTCTGGATAAGAGCGTCTGCTAAATGACTAAAATGTAAATGAAAATGTAGATGTGCACTTACTGTATGTGTGTATGTGTGTGTGTTTCATTCTTGAAGGTGATCTTCCATTCAGCAGTGAGGGTGACAGGTTAAAGATGATCTGAAATAATTACTTCTAATGGACATTTAGTGCTTCCTCTTTCAAATGTACCTAAACTTGAACAGGTTTCTACTTTGTGTCAAAGTCAGTGTACTCAGTCACTCAATAGCTTAAGGCAAGAGCATAAATAGTGAGCCTGGCATAATGTGCATCAGCAGCTTCACCTGCTTCAGTGAAGGGTGAAGGCCCAACCCTCAAAGGCTCAATTGATTCAAATCTCAAAAGAGTCACAGACTTCAACTTCAAAGATTAATTGAATTCAAAGTCAAACGGACATGATCCAATTCTCAGAGATTCATATAATTCAACTCCCAAAGTTTCCCATGACTCCAATAGCCTAGTCAACCACACTGACCACAGCGGTCAGTGTGATTGACCAGGGTATGACTCCCCGGCCTTAACAAGGGAAAACCATGGGAAAACTGGAAACCATTGCTACCAGCCAAAGTAGCTCACAGCTCAACATTGGTTCCTTAATTACCTTTTTGTGCCATACAATCTTTTTCTCTTGCTTTCTCGCTCTCCCTAGCTCATTTTCTGTGTATCTCAGTCATCCATATGACAAGCCTTGCTGGCGTGACAATAAACACATACATCACACTGCCACAGCAAACTTTTCCTTCTCTCTGAAAACAATCACTCTCTCCCTCCTAACCCTTTCTCTCCTTTTCACCCTCCCTCCTTCTGTTCCCCATCTTTCACTCAACTTTTCCCCCTCACTCTCCTCCCCCCGGTGCGCCTTTCTTTCTCACGCAGAAGCCCCTATCCCTCTGGCCTAATTGGACAGTGATTGGGTGAATGTGAAAATTAAACATTCCTACTACACATTCCCATGTTTGTATAACAGACATTCTCATACTCTTTCTGGGGCTTACCTGCACCCAGCCACCTGCATGACATGTAGTACAGAGACAATACTGGGAAAGCCTCAAGGTGTGGTGACAGGTAGGACTAGTTGCACACATGTGAACTTTCAACACGGCTAAGAATTGCACACACCGATTACCTCCACCACCTCCCCCCCCAGTAGTCTTCCTTTGCATTTCATTACTGATCTGTTAAGGTGGAACAGCAACGTTCAGAGGAGAAAAAGTATACCCGCTGATTGTACACCCACTACAACAGACATGCTATAACCTATTCAGAAACAAACTTCCTTCCCTCTTGCTGTTCAAAGTAGCCTATGAGTTAGATGGTTTTGACGCTAATCAAAGAAACATTGACAGACAGATCTGAGAAACTAAAGGGTTATATCAAAGGACAGTAATCTCTCCCCATGCCGGATTTGTTTCCATATTGACATTGGGGAACTTAACTCTCCCTCTCCTCCCACTTGACAAAGAGCTTCTAGTTTCCAGTTATTTTCAGTGGACCGCAGACAGTAGACAGTATGCAATTACTTAAGCACATTGTCTGTTTTCAGGTATCCATCTGTCTCCAAAATGTACTGTTGTGATTGTTGGTGTATATATTGTACACCACAACACAAAGCAAACGGAACATATCAAGTATAAAACCGATTATGAGAATTATTTATTTGATACATCAGTGAACTGGAGTACACTGTCACAGAAAGTAAAACAAGTTCACCCAAAAATATTTGGCAACCAAACCCTCCTCTAATTAGGAAACAAATTAACCATGTGTTGCTTTGCTGCTTGCAGCCAAATGTCAAAGCAAAGGAGGGAAAACTCACATTGAACACTGAGGAGCTCAGGGGTTGTAGGGGAGAGTGGGGTAAGTTGATACATTTTTTACATTCAGCATTCCTCCGTCAAGGGAAATATAGTATTCTTTATAACAAATATATTAACATATATTTCAGGATGTTGTGTATCCCTGGAAATAATCAGAATTAATGTAAACATTACAGTTTTGAAAACATAGCTTGTCCAAAAAAAGTGGTCCCTTGGCACAACTTACCCCGGGTATGGAGTAAGTTGAGCCATGGGACAGGTTAAGTTAAGCTGCCTACACATTTCTGTATTGAATGAAATATTACTACTACCTTTTTAAAACCATGTCTATCTTTATTTCCCAAACACAATTAAACACAATCGCTGTTTTGTCTTTTAATTATTTTAAGCATCTTTTAACACAGGCTTAACACCTAACAAACACTTTGTACTTTTTAAACTCTTTTAACATAGGCCAGGCTCTGTTGTTACCTCATATCCCAGCGATAATGCCTTGCATTATGGCTGGGAAGAAAACACTTCAATTTGCTCAACTTGCCATTGGCTCAACCATTGGCCCAACTTACCCCATGGCCATTGGCTCAACTTACTGAAGGACAAACATTTTGACTATATTAGCCCACACAGCTACAAGGGTGCACTTTCATGCTAGGCTTAGGACCTCATGTTGAAGCTTATAGACACCCCAACTGATGTATAATCTTAAAATTATCTACTTTGGTTTAGATACAAGCATCATGAAACCTAATTATTAAATTAATTTGACTTGGTGAAAATCTGTTTTTTGGACCTAACTTGCTTACTACTTTTCCATGTAGTTTATTCCTTCACAGAATCCATGAAATGATGACCTCTTCCTAAATATTCGGTCAACTTTTTAATTGTATGGTTTCCTAGAAACAAGGGTGGCTCAACTTACCCCTTTGGCTCATCTTACCCCACTCTGCCCAATGTATCAAAGGGTCTCAGAGTAGGAATGCTGATCTACAGCACTGAGCACAGAACATAAAATAGAGTTGTTTTGCCCCTCTACAAACCCTCACAAACAGCTCACCTCAATGACCCATGACCATCACCACCCACCTCCTCATCTCCTCCACACAACCGTACTGTAAGTTCATAACGTCCCCCCAAAAATGATGGGGAAGACTAGACTCCCCAGGGGGGAAGGCAATGTACAAACACAGCACTGGAGCAAGACATGCGACATAACACAGAAGGAAAATGCATTATTTCCCATCTAGTCGTCAGATTCGTTTGAGCTTCAGACAACTTTTCTGTCATGTTCATTGTCATGACAAACATGTATGGCATGACAATGAACGACACAAGACTTGCCTAAACAACAAACAGATCTGCTTCTGCTACCATGCAAGTCTCAGACACATAGACAAACCATAACAAAGAAGGAAAATAACAATTATTTCATTTCTATAGATGGACTCCACATCCCCCATCCTCTCCACCCTCACAAGGTAATAGTTACCCTTATCCACAGATTTAGGGTCAGATCACCATACTACCTAATCATAACCATAACCATTAAAGGGATGAAAATGTATCTGACCCTGTATCAGTGGTTAGGGATGTCTACTACCCCACCTGTCTCGTTACCCCAACCCTACCCCTCTCTCTGCGGTCACTCACTGGGGTAGCGGTAGTAAAAGTCGTTTTCGTAGTTGGAGGAGCCATTGGCAATTTCCATGTGCCATTGCTTGGCGTCTGTCTCTTCGTCGTACTTCACCAGCGTGCCGAAGAGGATGATGATGATCACCTCCAGGATGATGCAGGCCATGGGCAGCTTCAGCCGCAAGTTAGTCGCTGAGTTCGTCATGGCTGTGGGGTTACCTGGGTATTCTCCTGGCTCTGCACTATGGCCTTAGGGGTGAATGGTTAGATGTCCAACTCAGCTCCAGAGCGGGGAACACAGCAACATACACTAACACAGAGTGGGAGTGCAGGGAGGGAGGAGGACTCAAGCTGACACATGAGTTGGTCTGACGTAATTAGTGTGTTTCGGTTGCAAATGTTCATGCCCACCACCTTTCTGTGTGCCTCCAATCAGAGGTTACAAGCAAACCTCAACCCCTCCCCTTCACTATTGCTGTTGTTAAGGTGGTCTGGAATGAGTTAGGACTCCTTAAAATGATCAGTTACTCCTCTAGATTGATAGAGAAGGAAAATGACCCATCAAAAACTATTTTTATGGGTTTACCCTTCATATTGAAATCGTTTTTTAAATGCTTTCTTATACCTTATCTACGGTAAAAACAGGTCGATGGTTCAAGACCCACTGTGAATTAAAAAACACAAACAGATGCATGCAGACAGACAGTCAAGCGTGTACACGCATAGGATCTAACATATTGCTTGTGTGAATGTAAGCAGTGTCTCTCCATTATGCCATTGACTCCTCAAAGTGAGACAAAAAGTAAAATAAAAACAAAACTTCTTGGGATCAAAATAGTTTGTGCAACCATGTGTGATAATGTGCCAAGACACATACACACACACACACACATTCCATTCATCCTTACTTACTGTCACAATGTTAAAAAGCTAAAAGGGCCTGTAGTTGAGATGTTTGGACAGGCGCAACTGGAAAGGCGCAACCTTCCCAAGTTCTCTCTTGTCACCCCCCTCCTCCGCACACTCCACTGGCTTCCAGTTGAAGCTCGCATCCGTTACAAGACCATGGTGCTTGCCTATGGAGCAGTGAGGGGAACGGCACCTCCGTACCTTCAGGCTCTGATCAGTCCCTACACCCAAACGAGGGCATTGCGTTCATCCACCTCTGGCCTGCTGGCTCCCCTTCCTCTGCGGAAGCATAGTTCCCGCTCAGCCCCCCCCCCCCCCCCCAAAAAAAAATTAATAAAAAAATAAATAAAAAAAAGTATAATTGTAAAGTGGTTATCCCACTGGCTATAGGGTGAATGCACCAATTTGTAGTCGCTCTGGATAAGAGCGTCTGCTAAATGACGTAAATGTGCCCTTGAGCAAGGCACTTAACCCTAATTGCTCCTGTAAGTCGCTCTGGATAAGAGCGTCTGCTAAATGACTAAAATGTAAATGTAAATGTAAAGGTTGTAGGATATCGGGTTTGGGATGGGTGGGGGGGGGGGGGATTTGAGACTCAGGTTTTGGGGGAGTAGGATGTGAGAGGGGAGGGAGGCAGGTCTGTGCACATCTTTGTCCTGTAAGGAGGAGCCATCACTCACTATGTACGCTATCTTTCTCCTTTAGAAAAGCGCACCTAGCAGGAATGCAGTTATGGTTTAGAGAATCTCAACTAAAAGCCTACCAGAGGCATCAAAGCCAATCTATGAAGTTGAATCCTGAATGTCTGTCAAGCTTCCTGCCTACCTTCCTGCCTGTATGACTGTCTGAAGAGTTGGGGTCATTTCACATTTAATTCAGTCAATGAAGGTCAAATAAAATTCAAGAATTTAAGAATTCCACTAATGATGATGACTGATGGCATACTGTAGGCCTACTGTAGTTAAGGCACAGCGAAATCCAAGTAGAACTTACAGTAGCTATGAATGTTATTGGCCCATCCACCACTTCGGAGGACAAAAGTAACTTTGTTACATTTGTATAGCATTTTTTACATTTTGTTACACATACATATTTGAGAATGACACAAGTATTGGTCTTCACAAAGTTTGCGGCTTCAGTGTTACGAGATACTTTTGTCAGATGTTACTATGGTATACTGAAGTATAATTACAAGCATTCCATAAGTGTCAAAGGCTTTTATTGACAATTACATTAAGTTTATGCAAAGAGTCAATATTTGCAGTGTTGACCCTTCTTTTTCAAGACCTCTGCAATCCGCCCTGGCATGCAGTCAATTAACTTCTGGGCCACATCCTGACTGATGGTAGCCCATTCTTGCATAATCAATGCTTGGAGTTTGTCCGAATTTGTGGGTTTTTGTTTGTCCACCCGCCTCTTGAGGATCGACCACAAGTTCTCAATGGGATTAAGGTCTGGGGAGTTTCCTGGCCATGGACCCAAAATGTCGATGTTTTGTTCCCCGAGCCACTTAGTTATCACTTTTGCCTTATGGCAAGGTGCTCCATCATGTTGGAAAAGGCATTCACCAAACTGTTCTTGGATGGTTGGGAGAAGTTGCTCTCGGAGGATGTGTTGGTACCGTTCTTTATTCATGGCTGTGTTCTTAGGCAAAATTGTGAGTGAGCCCACTCCCTTGGCTGAGAAGCAACCCCACACATGAATGGTCTCAGGATGCTTTACTGTTGGCATGACACAGGACTGATGGTAGCGCTCACCTTGTCTTCTCCGGACAAGGTGTTTTCCGGATGCCCCAAACAATTGGAAAGGGGATTCATCAGAGAAAATGACTTTACCCCAGTCCTCAGCAGTCCAATCCCTGTACCTTTTGCAGAATATCAGTCTGTCCCTGATGTTTTTCCTGGAGAGAAGTGGCTTCTTTGCTGCCCTTCTTGACACCAGGCCATCCTCCAAAAGTCTTCGCCTCACTGTGCGTGCAGATGCACTCACACCTGCCTGCTGCCATTCCTGAGCAAGCTCTGCACTGGTGGTGCCCCGATCCCGCAGCTGAATCAACTTTAGGAGACGGTCCTGGCGCTTGCTGGACTTTCTTGGGTGCCCTGACGCCTTCTTCACAACAATTGAACCTCTCTCCTTGAAGTTCTTGATGATCCGATAAATGGTTGATTTAGGTGCAATCTTACTAGCAGCAATATCCTTGCCTGCGAAGCCCTTTTTATGTGAAACAATGATAACAGCACTTGTTTCCTTGTATTTCAAGCACCACCCTCCTTTTAAAGCTTCCAGTCTGTTATTCTAACTCAATCAGCATGACAGAGTGATCTCCAGCCTTGTCCTCGTCAACACTCTCACCTGTGTTAACGAGAGAATCACTGACATGATGGCAGCTGGTCCTTTTGTGGCAGGGCTGAAATGCAGTGGAAATGTTATTTTAGGATTAAGTTCATTTTCATGGCAAAGAGGGACTTTGCAATTAATTGCAATTCATCTGATCACTCTTTATGACATTCTGGAGTATATGCAAATTGCCATCATCAAAACTGAGGCAGCAGACTTTGTGAAAATTAATATTTGTGTCATTCTCAAAACGCATTATTAATACATTTCACGTACATGGTACTTCTAATAACAGTATTACCAGGGCCGTAACCAGGGTTTGAATTTTAGTGAGGTAATTCTTTTTTTTTTGGGGGGGGGGGGGTTAAATTTATTTCCTGAATTGACTGCCTTCATTTCGAATTGAACCCTTCTGGGCACCTGCCCTGCGTGCACGGTCGGTAATTTGGATGTGGTTACTACAAGTTTAGATATCTGGCTAGACTAACTTGACTCATTTACCAATCAAAATCTTTTTTACTGATATGGGCTAATTGAGTGACAGTCAGTCAGTGACCTATAACAAGATGAAAACTGCTGATGTACATTTCAATTCACCGAAACAGAGAGGTTGTTATCTGGTTAAAGGAGCCACTCTTACTACTCTACTGGAGAACCAGTTTGGGTTTAAGTATAACTGTTGTATGACTGACGCTTTAATAACCTTTTACTGCAGTAGTCATAAAGAAATCTACTTTGAAACAAAAGTATACACCTCACACACATCTTTATGGGCTTAAAAAATAAGATATAGAGTTGAAATGTATTCAATTTTGAGTTTGCATACCAATATTACACTTTATATACATCACAGAAGACTGAAATATAACAAAACCGTTTGACATAGAAACACAAGATGTTTTGCAGATTTTTGAAATAATGTTTATTAATTATGAAAAGTATGAATAACATTCCACCCATGAGACCACTAGGTCATTTGACTGCAAGAAAGGGAGAGGTTTAATGCTTTAATATTGAATCATTTTAGCCCCCCAAATTCCTATTCATTATATAAACAAGCATGTTTAATTATGTCTGGCTCACCGTTTCAAATAAAGTGAAATATGTTTTACTCATAATTTGAAAAACAAGCCATGGAGTAGGCAGAGGTATAAGTAAATAAGTAAACTGTGATTTTTCTAGTGTAACATGTTTCATCCTGTCTTTCCGTGAGACCCACTAACATTCCTCCCCACGGTACGTTGACAGGGTGGGCTACAGGGCACATCTAAATCATCAGCCCCTTCAAAACAATTGAGTTTCACTTACTTAGCCCCATAGTTTAACTCAGGAGCATTCTTCTCTAAACTGATAGCATATACTCAGATTAGTAAATTACATGTTTGCCCAGGTTAGGACACTGATGGGCAGAGAATATAACATATTGACCATGTTCTGTACATAGTGTCTCACCATCTTGATAATTGTGACTTTTGAAGTCAACAAACAGAAGCCCTGGCTCATGGGCAAAATATCAATTTGACAGAGGTTAGCCTGGTGTAAGGGATCCCTTTGGTCATTTATAAAGGAGGTGTTTTATTGAGTACATTTAGGGCTGACCCCAATTAGTTGACTGGAATATTTTTTGGTCGTTAGGCTGTTGGTTGACCGAGATTGTTTTAGTTGAGCAGTAACAAATATATACAGTGCCTTTGACTTTTTCCACATTTTGTTACATTACAGCCTTATTCTAAAATGCATTAAACTGTTTTTTCCCCTCATCAATCTACACACAATGCCCCATAATGACAAAGCAAAAACTGGGTTTTAGACATTTTTGCAAATTTGTTACAAATAAAACACAGAAATATCACATTTACATAAGTATTCAGACCGTTTACTCAGTACTTTGTTGAAGCATCTTTGGCACACCTGTATTTGGAGAGTTTCTCCCATTCTTCTCTGCAGATCCTCTCAAGCTCTGTCATGTTGGATGGGGAGCGTTGCTCCACAGCTATTTTCAGGTCTCTCCAGAGATGTTCGATCAGGTTCAAGTCCGGGCTCTGGCTGGGCCACTCAAGGACATTCAAAGAGTTGTCCCGAAGCCACTCCTGCATTGTCTTGGCTGTGTGCTTATGGTCATTGTCCTGTTGGAAGGTGAACCTTCGCCCCAGTCTGAGGTCCTGACCGCTCTGGAGCAGGTTTTCATCAAGGTTCTCTGTACTTTGATCCGTTTATCTTTTCCTCGATCCTGACTAGTCTCCCAGTCCCAGCCGCTGAAAAACATCCCCACAGCATGATGCTGCCACCACCATGCTTCACCGTAGGGATGGTGCCAGGTTTCCTCCAGACGTGACGCTTGGCATTCAGGCCAAAGAGTTCAATCTTGGTGTCATCAGACCAGATAATCTTGTTTCTCATGGTCTGAGAGTCTTTAGGTGCCTTTTGGCAAACTCCAAGCGGGCTGTCATGTGCCTTTTACTGAGGAGTGACTTCTGTCTGGCCACTCTACCATAAAGGCCTGATTGGTGGAGTGCTGCAGAGATGGTTGTCTTTCTGGAAGGTTCTCCCATCTCCAAAGAGGAACTCTAGAGCTCTGTCAGTGTGACCATCGGGTTCTTGGTCATCTCCCTGACTAAGGCCCTTCTCCCCCGATTGCTCAGTTTGGCCAGGGGGCCAGCTCTAGGAAGAGTCTTGGTGGTTCCAAACTTCTTCCATTTAAGAATGATGGAGGCCACTGTGTTCTTGGAGACCTTCAATGCTGCAGACATTTTTTGGTACCCTTCCCCAGATCTGTGCCTGGACACAATCCTGTCTCGGAGCTCTACGGTCAATTCCTTTGAGCTCATGGCTTGGTTTTTGCTCTGACATGCACTGTCAACTGTGGGACCTTATATCGACAGGCGTGTACCTTTCCAAATCATGTCAAATCAATTGAATTTAACACAGGTGGACTCCAATCAAGTTGTAGAAACATTTCAAAGTTGATCAATGGAAACAGGTTGCTCAATTTCGAGACTCATAGCAAAGGGTCTGAATACTTATGTAAATAAGGTATTTTTATTTTTTATTTTTTTTATACATTTGCAAACATTTATAAAAACATGTTTTCGTCATTATGGGGTATTGTGTGTAGATTGATGTGGATTTTTATTTATTTATTACATTTTAGAATAGGCTGTAACATAACAAAATGTGTAAAAAGTCAAGGGGTCTGAATGATTTCCGAAGGCACTGTATGCACAAAGATTTTTATAAAGTGACCGGGATTGCACAATAAAGTTGGGGACTTATTTCCATTGTGGTCCCTATTATTATTTAACATTTTACATATATACATCTACAATTACATAGATACAGACACATTACAGAGATAGAGATGAAAAAATGCTCAATCTCCAGATGAGGGGGGAGTTAAAGTACAATTCTTACAAGCTTGTTTGGCTGGTAGCTTATAAATTAGATGTTTGGGGTTGCTGGTGAACCATGATGTGCAGGCATAATCAAAGTGACACTGGACTAGTGCCAGAGTCTTTAGGGAGTTTATTATTATCCATCCATTTGGCGACAGATTTTCATGTGAATATTCTAAAATCTTCATAAAAACAATATGCCATTTCAGACTTTCCTTTGGCGCTGGGCAACATGACAGGGAAGATTTTAATTTACCGGACATTTGAGACATTTAATGAACATTCATATGCATTCAGATACAACCTGGCGCAGCCAGCGTCATCAATAAATAAGGGATGTTGGCCAAATGAGTCACATTTACAGTGGGGAAAAAAAGTATTTAGTCAGCCACCAATTGTGCAAGTTCTCCCACTTAAAAAGATGAGAGAGGCCTGTAATTCTCATCATAGGTACACGTCAACTATGACAGACAAATTGATTTTTAAAAATCCAGAAAATCACATTGTAGGATTTTTAATGAATTTATTTGCAAATTATGGTGGAAAATAAGTATTTGGTCACCTACAAACAAGCAAGATTTCTGGCTCTCAAAGACCTGTAAGTTCTTCTTTAAGAGGCCCCTCTGTCCTCCACTCGTTACCTGTATTAATGGCACCTGTTTGAACTTGTTATCAGTATAAAAGACACCTGTCCACAACCTCAAACAGTCACACTCCAAACTCCACTATGGCCAAGACCAAAGAGCTGTCTAAGGACACCAGAAACAAAATTGTAGACCTGCACCAGGCTGGGAAGACTGAATCTGCAATAGGTAAGCAGCTTGGTTTGAAGAAATCAACTGTGGGAGCAATTATTAGGAAATGGAAGACATACAAGACCACTGATAATCTCCCTCGATCTGGGGCTCCACGCAAGATCTCACCCCGTGGGGTCAAAATGATCACAAGAACGGTGAGCAAAAATCCCAGGACCAAAGTAACAAAGCCTACCATCAGTAACACACTACGCCGCCAGGGACTCAAATCCTGCAGTGCCAGACGTGTCCCCCTGCTTAAGCCAGTACATGTCCAGGCCCGTCTGAAGTTTGCTAGAGTGCATTTGGATGATCCAGAAGAGGATTGGGAGAATGTCATATGGTCAGATGAAACCAAAATAGAACTTTTTGGTAAAAACTCAACTCGTCGTGTTTGGAGGACAAAGAATGCTGAGTTGCATCCAAAGAACACCATACCTACTGTGAAGCATGGGGGTGGAAACATCATGCTTTGGGGCTGTTTTTCTGCAAAGGGACCAGGACGACTGATCCGTGTAAAGGAAAGAATGAATGGGGCCATGTATCGTGAGATTTTGAGTGAAAACCTCCTTCCATCAGCAAGGGCATTGAAGATGAAACGTGGCTGGGTCTTTCAGCATGACAATGATCCCAAAACACACCGCCCGGGCAACGAAGGAGTGGCTTCGTAAGAAGCATTTCAAGGTCCTGGAGTGGCATAGCCAGTCTCCAGATCTCAACCCCATAGAAAATCTTTGGAGGGAGTTGAAAGTCTGTGTTGCCCAGCGACAGCCCCAAAACATCACTGCTCTAGAGGAGATCTGCATGGAGGAATGGGCCAAAATACCAGCAACAGTGTGTGAAAACCTTGTGAAGACTTACAGAAAACGTTTGACCTGTGTCATTGCCAACAAAGGGTATATAACAAAGTATTGAGAAACTTTTGTTATTGACCAAATACTTATTTTCCACCATAATTTGCAAGTAAATTCCTAAAAAATCCTACAATGTGATTTTCTGGAGAAAAAAATTCTAATTTTGTCTGTCATAGTTGACGTGTACCTATGATGAAAATTACAGGCCTCTCTCATCTTTTTAAGTGGGAGAACTTGCACAATTGGTGGCTGACTAAATACTTTTTTTCCCCACTGTATACTACTGTCATAAGACAGTCTTTCTCACCAAACCATAAGAAGGGGATTGTTAAAATGTTTGCAAGACTGACCACACAGGCACTTGAATAGTGACAATGTGCATCCAACGCAATAAAATAATCTGTACTGTGTTCTCCTACTTTGTTCAGGCTTTCAGGATGTGCACGTGATGATCTTCATTGGCTTTGGTTTCCTCATGACGTTCCTGCAACGTTACGGCTTTAGCAGTGTGGGCTTCAACTTCCTCATTGCGGCCTTCGCTCTGCAGTGGGCCACTCTCATGCAGGGCTTTGTCCACGGCATGCACGGGGGCAAGATCCACATCGGAATAGAGAAGTACGGCTCATGCACACACTAACCTACATTTCATACTAAAATAAACACAACACACCAGCAGATACATGTGATGTGTATACATGTCATATCATACGGGTGTAAGTGTATACTGTAGTGTATCCCATAATAAACCCTATCATTAAGAGTGTTTCTCCCTCCTGCAGTATGATCAACGCTGACTTCTGCACGGGCTCAGTGCTTATCTCGTTCGGGGCGGTCCTGGGGAAGACCAGTCCAGTCCAGCTGCTGGTCATGTCTGTGATTGAAGTCACCCTGTTCGCAATCAATGAGTTCATTGTGCTTTCTGTTCTGGGGGTGAGTGTGTGTGTGTCTTTAGGTGTACCATTAAACGTACAATTCATGTCTTGCAGCCTTAAGGCTTATATGTGTGTATACAAACCTACACTAAAACTGTTTTTTTTACGTACTATTATGCTTACTCTCCTATTAGGCTTTCTCATCACTCTTGCATAATATACTTTTAGACTAAGCTTTTTACACCCCTTAAATTAGATCATGTTCACCTTTAGGCCAAGGATGCTGGTGGCTCCATGACCATCCTGTCACGATCGCCAATGAAGTATGACCAAAGCGCAGCGTTGGGAGTGAACATGATGATTTTAATTTTGAAACACACGACAAAACAAAACACGATCCGTGACGTCCTCAGTTACACCGACTGAAAAAAGAACAAAAACCCACAACCACAAGGTGAACACAGACATTTAAATATGGCTCCCAATCAGAGATAACGAGCCGACAGCTGACACTCGTTACCTCCGATTGGGAGTCACTGACCAAACATAGAACGCGAACACCTAGACACTACCCACAGTACACAACACACGGAAATCTACACACCCTGACTAAACACAAAAAGTCCTAGAACCAGAGTGTGACAGTACCCCCCCCCAAAGGCGCGGACTGCGACCGCGCCTAACTACAAGCAAACAGGGGAGGGCTGGGTGGGCATTCCTCCTCGGCGGCGGCTCCGGCTCCGGGCTTCCTCCCCACTTCCTCTCCAACCCCCCAAAGTACCCCTGGTCCTGCCTAGCCCCGCTGGCCGGAACCGGACTGACGACACGCGCCCCTGGCTTGGTGCGTGGATCCTGGCTGGACGGCTCTGGCGGATCCCGGCTGGACGGCTCTGGCGGATCCCGGCTGGACGGCTCTGGCGGATCCCGGCTGGACGGCTCTGGCGGATCCCGGCTGGACGGCTCTGGCGGATCCTGGCTGGGCGGCTCTGGCGGATCCTGGCTGGAAGGCTCTGGCGGATCCCGGCTGGAAGGCTCTGGCGGATCCCGGCTGGACGGCTCTGGCGGATCCCGGCTGGACGGCTCTGGCGGATCCCGGCTGGACGGCTCTGGCGGATCCTGGCTGGACGGCTCATGGCTGGCTGACGGATCTGGCTGCTCATGGCTGGCGGAAGGATCTGGCTGCTCATGGCTGGCGGAAGGCTCTGGCTGATCCTGTCTGGCGGAAGGCTCTGGCTGATCCTGTCTGGCGGAAGGCTCTAGCGGCTCTGGTCTGGCGGACAGCTCTGATGGCTCATGGCAGACGGGCGGCTTTGCAGGCTTTAGGCAGACGGGCAGTTCAGGCCCCGTTGGGCAGACGGCAGACTCTGGCCGTCTGAGGCGCACCGTAGACTTAGTGCGGGTGGCCGGAACAGGCCGGACCGGGCTGGCGACGCGCACCGTAGTCTTGGTGCGGGTGGCAGGAACAGGCCGGGTCGGGCTGGCGACGCGCACCGTAGTCTTGGTGCGGGTGGCAGGAACAGGCCGGGTCGGGCTGGCGACGCGCACCGTAGACTTGGTGCGGGTGGCAGGAACAGGCCGGGTCGGGCTGGCGACGCGCACCGTAGTCTTGGTGCGGGTGGCAGGAACAGGCCGGGTCGGGCTGGCGACGCGCACCGTAGTCTTGGTGCGGGTGGCAGGAACAGTCCGGACCGGGCTGGCGACGCACACCGTAGACCTGGTGCGGGTGGCAGGAACAGGCCGGACCGGGCTGTGGAGACGGATAGGAGGCCTGGAGCGAACAGCGGACACCACCCGTCCTGGCTGAATGCCTACCCTCACACACTCTGTGTGAGGCATCAGCACAGGACGTACAGGGCGGTGTACCCCTGGCCTGGTGGCCTCCTGGATACTCCCCCTTTTCTCCTCCGTCAGCCCCGTCGTCCATGCCGTGTGCCCCCCCCTAAAAAATTTCTGGGGTTGACACACGACCCTCCGACGATGGCCCTGCTGCCGCCGTTGCTCCTCTCTCGCCAGGGCCTTGATCCTTCCCCAAGGTCCCTTGCCTCCGAGCATGTCCTCCCAGGACCACGATGTGCCCACCTGGGCCATCGCCAGCCTCTCTATCTCCTTGCCCGGTGCCTCCTCCCATGTCCAGTCTCCCTGCTCCTGGACACGCTGCTTGGTCTTTCTTTGGTGGGTTTTTCTGTCACGATCGCCAATGAAGTATGACCAAAGCGCAGCGTTGGGAGTGAACATGATGATTTTAATTTTGAAACACACGACAAAACAAAACACGATCCGTGACGTCCTCAGTTACACCGACTGAAAAAAGAACAAAAACCCACAACCACAAGGTGAACACAGACATTTAAATATGGCTCCCAATCAGAGATAACGAGCCGACAGCTGACACTCGTTACCTCCGATTGGGAGTCACTGACCAAACATAGAACGCGAACACCTAGACACTACCCACAGTACACAACACACGGAAATCTACACACCCTGACTAAACACAAAAAGTCCTAGAACCAGAGTGTGACACATCCACACCTTTGGAGCTTACTTTGGCCTGATGGTGGCTCGTGTTCTCTACCGCCCCAACCTGGACAAGAGCAAACACAAGAACTGCTCTGTCTACCACTCTGACCTCTTTGCCATGATTGGTAAGAATACCTCCTGCTCATCGTAAGCAGGAAGCCCGTACATTAGATACAAATAGCTACCATCAACAAGTCGGACAACTTAACCTTCATTTTCTGAAGACGCCAGTTATGTTTTGACTATGCATGCCAATGCCAATGTATGGGAATCTGTGTCATAATTAAGAGTACAGTACATCCACCTCCCCAGGAAAAAACCTTACCTGTAAGCTTGCTAAACTAAAGGACTATATTACATACCTGTATGCTAATACTTATTTTTAACTTTTGTTATTGACCAAATACTTATTTTCCACCATAATTTGCAAATAAATTCATAAAAAATCCTACAATGTGATTTTCTGGATTTTTTTTCTCTCAATTTGTCTGTCATAGTTGACGTGTACCTATGATGAAAATTACAAGCCTCTCTCATCTTTTTAAGTGGGAGAACTTGCACAATTGGTGGCTGACTAAATACTTTTTTCCCCCACTGTATGTGTCCTTAAAAACAGCCTATAACAAATTACAAAAACACTATTCCATGTGTTTCGATGTATAGCATATGCAAAACTTTATAGCCTATAAAAAATACAACAAAACGGCCTACTTTCATAAAATAATAATTGTCCACCTCACGGTTCAGATTTGAGCACTAATCTTATCAGGGCATTGTATGCAAAGGCTTAGGTGTCCACTGTATGATATTCATATTTTAATAAATATATATATACAATCCAATTTTATTTGTCACATGCGCCGAATACAACAGGTGAAATGCTTACTTACAAGCCCTTAACCAACAATGCATTTCAACAAACAGAGTTAAGAAAATATTTACTAAATAAAGTAAAGTAAAAAATTAAATAAAAAGTAACACAATAAAATAACAATAATGAGGCTATATTTACATTTACATTTACGTCATTTAGCAGACGCTCTTATCCAGAGCGACTTACAGTTAGTATACAGGGGGTACCGGTACCGAGTCAATGTGTGGGGGTTCAGGTTAGTCGAGGTAATTTGTACATGTAGGTAGGGGTAAAGTGACTATCAATAGATTATAAACAGCATGTAGCAGCGTGGGGTGGGGGTGGGGGGGGCAATGTAAATAGTCCGGGTGGCCATTTGATTAATTGTTCAGCAGTCTTATGGCTTGGGGGAAGAAGCTGTTAAGGAGCCTTTTGGACCTAGACTTGGTGCTCCAGTACCACTTGCCGTGTGGTAGCAGAGAGAACATTCTATGACTTGGGTGACTGGAGTCTTTGACAATTTTTTGGGCCTTCATCTGACACTGCATAGTGTATACAGTGGGGAGAACAAGTATTTGATACACTGCCGATTTTGCAGGTTTTCCTACTTACAAAGCATGTAGAGGTCTGTAATTTTTATCATAGGTACACTTCAACTGTGAGAGACGGAATCTAAAACAAAAATCCAGAAACTTAATATTTGGTACAGAAACCTTTGTTTGCAATTACAGAGATCATACGTTTCCTGTAGGTCTTGACCAGGTTTGCACACACTGCAGCAGGGATTTTGGCCCACTCCTCCATACAGACCTTCTCCAGATTTACATTTACATTTTAGTCATTTAGCAAACGCTCTTATCCAGAGCGACTTACAGTTAGCACATACATTATTTTATCGAACCCACAACCCTGGCGTTGCAAATGCCATGCTCTACCAACTGAGCTACATCCCCTGCCGGCCATTCCCTCCCCTACCCTGGACGACGCTGGGCCAATTGTGCGCCGCCCCATGGGTCTCCCGGTCGCGGCCGGCTACGACAGAGCCTGGATTCGAACCAGGATCTCTAGTGGCACAGCTAGCACTGCGATGCAGTGCCTTAGACCACTGCGCCACTCGATCCTTCAGGTTTCGGGGCTGTCGCTGGGCAATACGGACTTTCAGCTCCCTCCAAAGATTTTCTATTGGGTTCAGGTCTGAAGACTGGCTAGGCCACTCCAGGACCTTGAGATGCGTCTTACGGAGCCACTCCTTCGATGCCCTGGCTGTGTGTTTCGGGTCGTTGTCATGCTGGAAGACCCAGTCACGACCCATCTTCAATGCTCTTACTGAGGGAAGGAGGTTGTTGGCCAAGATCTCGCGATACATGGCCACATCCATCCTCCCCTCAAAATTGTGCAGTCGTCCTGTCCCCTTTGCAGAAAAGCATCCCCAAAGAATGATGTTTCCACCTCCATGCTTCACGGTTTGGATGGTGTTCTTGGGGTTGTACTCATCCTTCTTCTTCCTCCAAACACGGCGAGTGGAGTTTAGACCAAAAAGCTATATTTTTGTCTCATCAGACCACATGACCTTCTCCCATTCCTCCTCTGGATCATCCAGATGGTCATTGGCAAACTTCAGACGGGCCTGGACATGCGCTGGCTTGAGCCGGGGGACCTTGCATGCACTGCAGGATTTTAATCCATGACGGCGTAGTGTGTTACTAATGGTTTTCTTTGAGACTGTGGTCCCAGCTCTCTTCAGGTCATTGACCAGGTCCTGCCGTATAGTTCTGGGCTGATCCCTCACCTTCCTCATGATCATTGATGCCCCACGAGGTGAGATCTTGCATGGAGCCCCAGACCGAGGGTGATTGACCGTCATCTTGAACTTCTTCCATTTTCTAATTATTGCGCCAACAGTTGTTGCCTTCTCACCAAGCTGCTTGCCTATTGTCCTGTAGCCCATCCCAGCCTTGTGCAGGTCTACAAATGTATCCCTGGTGTCCTTACACAGCTCTCTGGTCTTGGCCATTGTGGAGAGGTTGGAGTCTGTTTGATTGAGTGTGTGGACAGGTGTCTTTTATACAGGTAACGAGTTCAAACAGGTGCAGTTAATACAGGTAATGAGTGGAGAACAGGAGGGCTTCTTAAAGAAAAACTAACAGGTCTGTGAGAGCCGGAATTCTTACTGGTTGGTAGGTGATCAAATACTTATGTCATGCAATAAAATGCAAATGATTTACTTAAACATCATACTATGTGATTTTCTTGATTTTTGTTTTAGATTCTGTCTCTCACAGTTGAAGTGTACCTATGTAAGTAGGAAAACCTGCAAAATCGGCAGTGTATCAAATACTTGTTCTCCCCACTGTAGGTCCTGGATGGCAGGAAGCTTGGCCCCAGTGATGTACTGGGCCGTACGCACTACCCTCTGTAGCGCCTTGCGGTCGGATGCCGAGCAGTTGCCATACCAGGTGGTGATGCAACCGGTCAGGATGCTCTCGATGGTGCAGCTGTATAACTTTTTGAGGATCTGGGGACCCATGCCAAATATTTTCAGTCTCCTAAGGGGAAAATGTGTTGTCATGCCCTCTTCACGACTGTCTTGGTGTGTTTGGACCATGATAGTTTGTTGGTGATGTGGACACCAAGGAACTTGAAACTCTCAACCCGCTCCCCTACAGCCCCGTCAATGTTAATGGGGGCCTGTTCGGCCCTCCTTTTCCTGTAGTCCATGATCAGCTCCTTTGTCTTGCTCACATTGAGGGAGAGGTTGTTGTCCTGGAACCACACTGCTGGGTCTCTGACCTCCTTCCTATAGGCTGTCGGTGATCCGGCCTACCACTGTTGTGTCATCAGCAAACTTAATGATGGTGTTGGAGTCATGCTTGGCCACGCAGTCGTGGGTGAACAGGGAGTACAGGAGGGGACTAAGCACGCACCCCTAAGGGGCCCCAGTGTTGAGGATCAGTGTGGCAGATGAGTTGCATCCCATTCCCAAGTTCTACTTTTCGAGCATCCCTGTTTATGAGTGTAGCCTAGTGTGTTCACTGCAAAGTGTCAAGAGGTCTGAACCTTTAATGGCACAACTAGTGCTCTCACCATGTTAATGCATCGTTGCTAGTTCAACCCTTAGGCCTGAAGATTATGATCGATAATGTCAAAAGCTGCACTGAAGTCTAACAAAACAGCTCTCACAATCTTCTTATTATCAATTTATTTGCGCCAATCATCAGTCATTTGTGTGAGTGCCGTACATGTTGAGTGCCCTTCGCTATAAGCGTGCTGAAAGTCAGTTGGTCATTTGTTTACTGTGATATAGCATTGGATCTGATCAAACACAATTTTTTTCAAAAGTTTACTAAGGGTTCGTAGCAGGCTGATTGGTTGTTTGAACCAGTAAAGGGTGGTTTGCTATTCTTGGGTAGCGGAATTACTTTTGCTTCCCTCCAGGCCTGAGGACACACGGTTTCCTGTAGGCAACAATACTTTTTTCACCTCTTTACAATACTTGTCTTTCATAATTTGGTCAGTTATGCATGGATGTGTAGGTTCAGAGTTTGTTGTTGGCATGTCATGCCTAATTTTTCTAATCTTGCCAATGAAAAAAGTTATTAAAGTAGTTGGCAATATCAGTGGGTTTTGTGATAAATGAGACATCTGATTAAATGAAGGATGGAGCTGAGTTCGGCGTTTTGCCCAAAATCTCATTTAAGGCAGTTCAAAATGTTTTACTATCATCCTTTATATAATGTATCTTTGTTTCGTAGAACAGTTTCTTCTTCTTTTTGCTTACTTAGTCACATCATTTCTCAATTTGTGATAGTGTGATTTGAAGGAGTCAGGCGCAGGAGGGTAAATCACAGAATACAGAGTTTATTCCGTAGTACACAGTTACGCTGGATAGCGTCAACAGTCCAGTGCGCAAAACAGGCACACAGGGAAAATATAACCCGGCAATACAAAGTACAGGTAGCTACACTCATCTCACATGAAACAATCACCCACAAGGACAAGGGGGCAGAGGGAACACTTATACATGTACTAATGAGGGGAATATGAACCTGATGTGTGTAATTGACAAGACAAGACAAATGGAAATGGAGCGACAGTGGCTAGACGACGAACGCCGAAGCCTGCCCGAACAAGGAGGGGAGGCAGCTTCGGAGGAAGTCGTGACACCATTTACAGTACATTTGCCGATCGGCTGTGCTGCCAGACTTATTTTCCATTCCTTTGCCTCATCCTCTCAACCATACCATTTTTTAATTCCTCTTCAATCAATTTTTTTCTTAATGGGTGCATGCTTATTAGTAAATGGAATAAGCAATTTCTTAAATTCTGATCTTGTCCACATTCTGATTGTGCCCACATTTGTCGACAGGTGTAGACAATCAAAAGACGCGTTGTTATCTGATTGTGATTAGATTTTCCTGACCACCTCCGGAGGTAGTCGAAGACGCATCTTGTACGGATATCCTTAAAGTGTAAACGAATCCTGACAATGAAAGCATATACTTTTGGCTAACATCATGGTTGTCCCGCCCTCTAAAGAAAAATCACTCCGGCCAGTTGAGGTATAATTATGGACAAAGATACCTCTACAATTCCTCCTCTTCATTAAAAATCAACCTGGGCACACACTTGAACTAACTTGGAATAGACGTTGAATTTACGTCTGTGCTCAGTGGGAAATGTCTACTTGCACTGTGGTCGGATGCCACAGTCCGATCGAAATTAAATCAAGCATATAGAAATAAAGTTATGTAGATTTAGTCGTGAATGAGGGAAAAACGGTTATCCCGTTCCCATGTCCAATGCAGCGCAAAGGACTGTAATAGCAGGAGTAGGAATATGAGAAAAAAATGCCCATTTTATTCAGAGCTGGATGGGGTATTGGCTGACCATCCCACCACCCGCCCCATGCATCCCCAATACATTTGTAGTTCAATTTAAATTCTGTAATGCTATAGCAGTCTATCAACGCTCGATGAGTGAAAGAGACTCTGTTAGTAAATTATCACTGATCAATGATTTGGAGGAAACCAAACTATGGTCGTTCTTCTCCCAGCATGTCACATTTATTCCCCTTTGGTAGGCTACTGTTTAGGCCTATACTGAATAAGAATCTGACCCCTGTTATATAATGCAATCCTGTATATATCCTGCTATTCTGTGAATCTTTTAGCATTTTCCTGAAAAATCTCCAAAGATGTCCAAACTGATGCGTAAAGGCGCAGAGCTTTCTGTAAGTATGGCACTGTCCAATATAATGTACAATCAGGCACATGCACTGACAGAGCACTAGGGGTGCTGGAGCACCTGCCCTTTTGCCCTCCTATGAAAAAAGTGCCCTTTGATTGGTGGTGAGCGGTGAGTTTGAAATTAATACGGCCAGTAGTAGGTTACTTTGTAGTTGCTAGCATGTGTTGTCTCAGGGACAGGGACAGGGATGGAGGCAACTGCTGTTCGACTGTTTGTCAGTAACATAACAAATTCAAATCAAGTAAAGACTAGCATAGCCAAGCTAACTAGCTGATTCATCTCGCCTACATTAGCGACATTCATGTTTCCGCTGCATTCATTTAGCTGTGACGCTTTTTTTTTTACATCATAGTATTTCTACCAAACATACTTTCAATAATCTGTCCGGATACAACATCGTTATAAAGGTTATTTAGCTCTGTCTAGGTACAACAACGTTCGAAAGGTTATTTAACGCTTTGTGCCACTGTGGCAGCCAAACCTGCTTGCACATGAAACACAGTCCTCCAGACAGCATGCTAGTCACTGGTATGGAATACATATTAGGAACGTTGTCATTCGTCCTCCTCAATCCTCCCCCCTCCCTAGTCAAGTATCAACCAGTGGCGCAGCACAGTTTCGCGAGGACCCTCCCCCCACCCCCATCAGGTCCAAGAAAGACCTCTACATATTTTGCCATGGGACAGAGAGAAGAATTTGCAGTTTTATAGCTAATATCATGTTATTCTACACATTTTTGCCATGAGGCTGAGAGAAAATGTTGCAGTTATAAAGCTAATTGACTGTAATTCTAAACATTTTGCCATGACTTATGACGGGTTCATATGCTATCTGGGCACCCCCCCCCCCCCCCCAAAATTTTTTTTCCCTTTTAAAAAGTCACCAGAGCTGACCAGAGCTGTTCTACAAACGACTGCTACAAAAATGTCCAGAAGAAACACTGATTAGCGATGACCACCCATAGTGGTTCTAGCAAAGATACTTAACTAACCTTTCATCTTTGGTTCTAGCTTGCTCAGCATACAATGTGTGATGAGTGAGTGTGTTTTTGATGAAATTGAAGGCCTATGTTAAAACAAATAATGGAGAATTTGGCTCCAGAAGCAGTAGAAAGGTGAGTGATGGAATTAAAGTGTGTGTGTGAGGAGGGGTGCCCTTTTTTTACTTTGAGCACCTGCCCCACCAAAGGTCTGTGCACGGCCCTGTGTACAATCCAAAGGACTTCTTTTAGATTTACACTTTATTCCTCCATAGTATTTGCTTTACGTGCATGCTCCTTTGTAGGCCTATACATGCCAGTTTCTTTAGAGAGCATACAATATTTGCCTTTTCAATCATTAACGTTATTATGAAGACAACTATGTAAACATCCATGCTTAAAGATCAACCCTGTTCAGACCTGTTTGAAAAAATGCATTGCGTCATTTGGAGATGCGCTTTTTAGCCTACTCTGTAACTTAACCTGTTTCTGTTTCTACTATGTGCATAAGGCCCCTAAGTCTAATTTGTATTTATACTGTGCATTAATTCTATTTTGTACACACATCCAGATACTCCGTTTGTTTGTGTGGTGACTTTCTTAGGGATGGGAGAGATTCTCTGAATATTTATTTGTACGGCTGTGGACAGGTCCAGGTTATCGGGACGGTAGCCTATTACACCTAGTCTTAAATCGTTGGATAACAAAAGTAGGCTGTAATGATGAGAGTATAAACTATTGAATATAAAAGTCTGCTGTTTTCTGTCGATTTCTACAGCTTGTGTCATAAGAGGAAGTTCAAGGCAGGTTGGATTCATTTGCATATAGGGAGGGACCAGAGAATCTGGTCACAATATGGACGCAGTGGGCAGCTAGAGACATTTTATTACCATGTGTAGACAAAACAAATTTCGATCGGATCATCTTGATCGGATGACGACAACCACATGTTAATGCAAGGTGTAACCACGGCTAGAGATGTGCGGCTATGCCAGATGCCTGTGAGATGCCAGGAGTCACTGTCATTCCAGCACATACACTCAGGCATAGCGGGGACACTCACATGGTGTCCAACAGTTTTTGTAAGCCAGATGCAAGCCTGTCCCGTGCTGGTACAAACACTATCTCTGTCATCATTTCCTTTGCTCTGATAAGAGTCTCAAACTCTGTAACATATTTAATCTATTTAACATAAACATTAGACATTGTGAAATGCCATAATGCAGTTCCAATAGGCCTATGTATTGGAAAATATCAAGACTGTTCCTTTTACCACAGATTCCACCTCCAATAAAAGTCCATCTACATTTGAATAATTACATTTATTAGCGTAGACACACAATCCAAAGGAATTAATTACATATTATACACACACACACACACCACTCAGTGTGTCAACCACCACTGCCCCCACAAGCATCAACTGTAGAATTCCAGCAGCTGCACTACCACAAATATGTGTAAAAGAGTTGTGCTATGAAGTGTTCTATTGTCACTCCATCTGCAGGCTGGCTCCTGGGCCTCTCAGATAAGACAATCTGGCCATCAGGCAGGGCTGATGGGACATGTGGGGGGGGGGGGGGGGGAGATGCAAAGAAGGGACATGCATTATAACAGAATCGGCTACTGGAGCCTTGGCACCTGATCCGAAGCACAAGAAAGGACCTGTCCATTATGCAACCTACGATAACATACAGTAGTACACCATACAGGTACTTCACACATAACCTGCAAACCTGTGTGTGTGGAGGTGTGTGTTACGGAACATTATAGTACTACTGTGCTTGCATGCTTAGAACTGAGGCTAGGAGAGAAATTCTGAAGTGGCGGACTCCATCAAAGACTATAGATGTGAGAGCGCACCTACTAACTCCTCTTCCTCAGGTGATTTGAGAATAAGTGACTCCGTTTGTGTGCAAGTCAAGTATGTGTTTAGGAAGGCATTGTTGTGATTGCATTCCTAACCAAAATACAGTTCTTCTCACTTTCTCACACACACACACCTATTTCCTCATGTGCTGTCCGTCAGCACCCAAGGCATGCAGTGTGTTGCTAGAGCAGAGAGTGGTGCAGAGTAGCTGCAGGGGAAACAGAGCGAGAAAGAGATAAGTAAACAGGCTATACCTGAGCTCTATCTCTGATCTCTGCCTATGTGACTGCCCATCACATGGGGAGCACACGTGCCCCAAAACCAACTAGACTGAGAATCTATGGGGTTATCCAGTATGTTGTTGTCACCAAGGGGGGACAAAGAGTGACATGTGGGGACAGTGACCCATGGGCGACAGGTCAGAAATAACAGAGATGAGGAGATAGCGTCTCACCTAACCTACCAGAGCTTAGGTTCACTATAGTGAGTGAATCAGTGTTATCACTATAAGCTACCCTGATAAGAATGTGAGTAAGAGATGCCTTGCTGTGCGCTACACATGGAACAGTAGGCCTTGGCATATCTACAAAGCACATATAGAAGCTTGGCTTTTCTTTTTCATGGAGGTGTGATTAGCACAATTAGCATGCAATACCTTTGGAGAAACAATGTAATGGCACAGGTAACTCATTGTGGGAGAAGGCTCATGACAATGATGAACATATCAGCTTTTACAAGCGAGCACAGAGATAAGTCTCACTAGAACTGGTTCAGCAGAGTTTTGAATGAGCCAATCCGTAACAACCTATGTGTGAATGGGAGGAGCATCTGGTTGTCCTCTAGGTAATCTGTATACCAGAATATCACATGACACATCATAGACAACCATCAGTAGACCATGAAAATATGGCCCAGAAACTGAAATTAAAAACAAAACCATTCACTCAGGTATGTTAGTAGACCCTTTATCAGTTCTCCCTGTACAATGGCAGTTTGTGAAGGCATAAAGCAGTCAAACGCCCAACTGAAAGTGCAGAGAGGCAGACAGTAAAAACAAGAGTCCCGTTTTTCGTATGTAGAGCGTTTTTGTCAGGTCAGCATGCCTTCTAGGTTCACCTGACTAACATTCATATGAAAGACTCACAAAGGAAAGCAAAGCAAATTGTGATCTACTGTAAAGGTTCCTATAAGACAAAATACATTACAAGTGAAATTTGAAAAGGGGAATTCGATACACACATTTTTGTGGCATTTATTTGATTACACAACACAATGTAAAGACTTACTCAAACAACAACAACCAACCCACTGGGCACAGACGTCAATTCAACATCTATTCTATGTTGGTTCATTGTAATTTCATTTCAAGGACGTGGAAACAACGTTAATTCAACCAGTGTGGGCCCAGTTGGAAGTGAACCAACAGTTCAATTATGCTTTGAAATGCTTTGATTACTTAACCATTCATCTATTACACTATTAGTGTCAGTGCCAAGTCATATTTATATCATAGCCTAAGGAACATATTGCACTTTAGATAGCATGAAAGACGAAAATAAAATGCTGCACAATGTGCAAACCTCAACCTCAAAGAAAACTGTTTTTCGCACGTACAAGTTGTTTACAGAGTTTGGGAGGGTGGTTGTTTGCACTGTTTAGGGTTAAATCTGCTGGGGACTCGCGAGCTATTAAATGTATAATATGCGACATGTTCGTTGTTGTCACGGGGAAAGGCCCGATGGATACCTTCATTTGTGAAAAATGTATTGAACTTGATGCAGCTAAAGAAAGGATTATTGCTCTTCATGAAGAAATAAAACATTTGACCAAGCGCCTTGAACTGAGTAAGGATTCTATGAGACTATCGGCATCATTAAATGCTTCCTATCAAAACATCCAAGAGGATCATAATGGGACCTTCTTGGACTATGATCAATTTCAGCACACTGCACGCCTCTACTAGCTTGAACCACAAAATGGCTGCTCACTGTTCGGCTCCAGGTGAGCGTAAATGGATGCGTGTAGGAACCAGAAAGAAGGAGAATAATTTTATGGTTGAGAGGGATGAGGGAAAAGAGATGGCAAATAGGTCTGGCTTTACAACCGATTGGCAAACGTACTGCAAATTGAGAAATCATGTGACTAAACTGAATAAAAAGAAGAAGAAACTACACTATGAAATAAAGATAAATGACATAAAGAATGATAGTAAAAAGCTTTGGAGCACCTTAAATGAAATATTGGGCAAAAAGGCTCCGCTCCATCATTCATTGAATCAGATGGCTCATTCATCACAAAACCCATTGATATTGCCAACTACTTCAATGATTTTTTCATTGGGAAGATTAGCAAACTTAGGCATGACGTGCCAGCAACAAACACTGACACTACACATCCAAAGAAATTATGAAAGACAAGCATTGTAATTTTGAATTCCTTAATGTAAGTGTGAAAGAGGTGAAAAAAGTATTATTGTCGATCAACAATGACAAGCCACTGGGGTCTGACAACTTGGATGGAAAATTACTGAGGATAATAGCGGACAATATTGCCACTCCTATTTGCAATATCTTCAATTTAAGCCTACTAGAAAGTGTGTGCCCTCAGGCCTGGAGGGAAGCAAAGGTTATTCCCCTACCTAAGAATAGTAAAGCCCCCTTAACTGGCTCAAATAGCCAACCAATCAGACTGTTACCAGCCCTTAGTCAACTTTTTGAAAAAATTGTGTGTGACCAGATAAAATGCTATTTTACAGTAAACAAAATGACAACAGACTTTCAGCACGCTTATAGGGAAGGACATTCAACAAGCACAGCACTTACACAAATGACTGATGATTGACTGAGAGAAATTGATGATAAAAATATTGTGGGGGCTGTTTTGTTAGATTTCAGTGCGGCGTTTGACATTATCGATCATAGTCTGTTGTTGGAAAAACTTATGTGTTATGGCTTTACGCCCCCAGCTATATTGTGGATAAAGTGTTACCTGTATAACAGAACACAGATGGTGTTCATTAATGGAAGCCTCTCCAACAAAATCCAGGTAGAATCAGGAATTCCCCAGGGCAGTTGTCTAGGCCCCTTAGTTTTTTCAATCTTTACTAACGACATGCCACTGGCTTTGAGTAAAGCCAGTGTGTCTATGTATGCGGATGACTCAACACTATACACGTCAGCTACCACAGCAACTGAAATGATAGTGTAGTATCTTAAACAGTCTACAAATGCTGATTGTTGCAGGAAAGTGTGATAGAGGGAACTTGGCCCTAAGATTTTGCTGATGTGGCAAAATGGTGTAATAGATGAACTTTGCTCTACTTGGTTGTAACATCTGGAAAGCATTACTGATGCTAATGGAGAGAAGAGATGGGGAGTGAGGGAGAAAAGACTAGGGATTGGTTTTTCTAGAATCACACCATAATACGTCATAAAGGATATAAATGCCATGTCTTGGACAATAGGGGAGAAAATAGCTAATCAGATTGGCTCGGGCTGTTTTCCAGACATCTGCAGGAGTCTGTCAAATTCTGATGCTGGAACCTTTGTTATAATAAACCTTTGAAAACAGAGTACAGTGTCGGCGGATCTTCCTTATCATTACAGCATGGACCAGCAAAAGTCTTTCTTTTAGTAACCACATTTAATGGCGACGAGGTTTTTGTTTTATTGTTCTTTGGGACGTGCTATGTCTCTTCTTTGCATTCCATTCCTGGGCTACAAAACGACTACCTCTCAGAAGCCGGCAACTAAGGTAAGTTTTTTATCACTAAATCATGGGCGCTGGTCGTTTTGTGAGTCCAGAGTGTGTGCGTTAAGATGTACCGTTAAAATTACTTATGCGTGCATTTTGCGTTCTTTTTGCTGTGTAAGAATTCCGTTCTAAATTTCTAAATTAGTTTATTTTGTTTGGGGGAAAATTAAAGGTTTGGAAAACCTGAAAAAAAATTTAAAACCCCAAAAAGGAAAAAAACCCCGGGATTGGGTTTTTTTTTGCATTTTGGGGGAAAAAGGGGCCTTTCTCCAACCCCAAAAAATTTTCCCCCCCATTTTGGGGTTAAAGGAATTTTCCCAAGGGAAAATTTTCCCCCCCCCCCCCCGGGGGGGGGGGGGGGGGGGGCCAATGGGGGGTTAGTTTTTAAATTTTTCTGGGGCTGCCAGGTTTGGGAAAAAAGGAGTTGAAAATTTTTGGGCTGGCCCAAAAATTAACCCTTGCAAACAAAAAAGTAAGTGTAGGTTTCCCTTAAAACGGGCTACCAAAAGCTTTTGTTGGGAAAATTTAATGGGGGGAAACGGAAGGTTTTTGGGGTTTAAAATTGTTTTTTGGGGACTCTATTGTCCTTTTTTAAAAAATTTTTTCCTGGGCTCAAAACCGAATTTGGGGAAAGGGGGGAAAAAAAACAAAGGGGTGGTTTTTTAAACAACCATTTCGTTTTTTTTGGAAAAAAATCCAGGTTTGGAAATAGGGGAGAAAATATTTATCGGTTTTGGGCTGGGCTTTTTCCGTTGGGGGAACCCTTTCAAAATGTTTTTAAATTTTTTTGGTTTTAAACCCAAAACAGGACAGGGGGGGTTTTTTTAATTTTAAAGGGGGGGAAACCAAAGGAAAAGGTTTTTTGGGGAAAACTTTTAAAGGGAAGGTTTTTTTGAATTGTTTTGGGAGGGCCGTTTTTTTGGAACCCTCCAAAAAAGGGGCCTTCTGGGGGGGGGCCCCCAATAAAATTTTTTTTTAAAAATTTGGGACTTTTCCCCCTTCCCCTTTTCCCGGGTTTGACA